ATATATAAAGAAAAGCTATATACAAGTAGTAAACACATACATTAAACATATTACCATAAAGAAAGGAAATATCTTTGAAAAATGGGCATTCAGGACTTACAAGCTTTTCTTGATAGTAATTGTATACCAGGTGGATCTGTATCAGTAGATTTATTGAAAATAGCACGTACTGTTACTCAAAGACAGCGTAATCGGGTTTGCAAAGTATTATCACCTCATTCAACTGCAAAGTTAAGACTAGTTCTCGATGGAGAATGCTGCTTGGATCGACTCTATGGCGGTTATTTTTCAGGTTTGTGTTACTTGTATCTTTTATTTAACAATATTTTCTCAAGATTTAATTTATCATCGATTGAAAATTAATGAGATCTTTTAACAGATTGGGCTTGTGGTGGACAGTGGAACCGTATGGTGCAATTTCTAGCAGTGCTTATACAAGCAACGGAAATGTCAGGTTTAGAATTAGCTGTCTTTTTTAATGGTTCTTTTGAATCTGCTCGCCGTTCAGATTGGATTCAAAATCAATTGCAAGTGAGAATTAAAGTAAATAATGTAAGTTTTGTCTTTGCAATACCAATATGTTATTTTATTTTTACCTTTGTAATCTTTGTTAAAACCATATTGTGTTTATAGGTCATCAAACATATTACAACCAAAGGAACTCCGCCGCCAAAGATTTGGTGGACACCACCTGTATGTTTAAGAACCAGTCTACGTATGGCACTTAGATATTTTAACGTTGCAGTTGTAAGTTGATTATCTGTATCGAGTAATATGTAAAAGAAAAGTATAAATTAATATAGTTTATATAACTGCAGTTGTGCAGTATGGACGATCATCGTCAAGAAGTCATTGCTTATTGTCGGGAGAATAATTTTAATGGTCTAATAGCTGACGATGCCGAATATGCTGCATTTGATCCACCTAGATACTTTTCTTCGGAACAATTAAAGCTTACATATAAGGTTAGTCATACACATTTATATATTTTTATATATATATATGTATATGTGTATTAATTCTTTGTTATATATTTTAAGGGTTCTCTTGACACAAAAGAATATATTATTCCTGAACTTTTAAAAGCCTTAAATATACCGGCAGATAGACTATGCTTATTGGCAGCATTACTTGGGAATTATATCTTAACGGAAAATAATCTTCTTGACTTCTATAAAAAATTAAATATTAATACAAATACCAATAAGACAAGCGTTGAACAAACTATTAAAACACTAGCAAGTTTTGTTAAAGAACTTCCATCTGTTGAGTTAGATGTAGTATCACAAAAAGTATTTGGTTCTCTATCCGATCCAAGGTGTTCCAAGTTAAGGCAATCTGTACAGTACTACATAAATGGTACAAAAGAAGGATTTTTACATTATAAACCTGTAAAACCAACTAAAGGTAAAATAATATATTTTGACATACATGTGATACAATTGTGTAATACAATAAATACATTTTCCAGCTCACAAGATAGATTCCAAACAAAATTTGCAAACTCAGTCAAACTTATCTGATGGACCATCGACTTCGGAGGGTGATAGTAGTTTGGAAACTTCTAGATTTGCCTCTGAAACGTTAGAAAGTGAACGTGAAAGTTTAAATGCGTACAAGCAAGCAACAGCTAACGCGAAGTCAGCACCACAGATAGTGATAGATCCACCTGGTATCCAAGGACATGGGGATACTGACAATGCTAGATCTGAAGAAGAACAAAGTGAATATGAATTCAATGTTATATTATATCATTCGAATAATATTATTACATTTATGTTTGACAAATGAATACATATTATTCATGCAGGTAATGGTCATGCTATAAATGGCACCCATAATCTTTTAATAAGTTCATCAAGCTCAAGTAGCAGTTCTTCTGCTACATCTCCGTCGCATGCGACTACAGATTCGACAAAACAAATAGAAAAGACGACTACCAGTATTCCTGGTACAGTACCAGAAGTTATGCGTACCGCATCTGAAAGACATCAAAAGGGTCTAATGTCTCCTCACATATACCAAATTCTTATAGCTGGTGAAATTAAATTGCCAGTTCTTTTAGAGGATGAAAATCATAGGGAATTTCCTTCTATTCATTTTATTTATAGACCAGTCAGACAAATGGTATATGCAATTCTTTTTAATTTACATCATCGAATGTATTTAGCAACTAAAAGTAAAGAAAAAGGTGGTATGTATGTGTATAAACATTATCATATATGATCCACGTTATACACGTATTTGTAATATTTATTGTACTTTTATAGAAAGTGAAAAAATTGAAGTCCCAGACGTAATAATAAAGGAGTGGGTATGGTCGAAGTCGAATCCATATCAAACTCCAGAATTAGTCAAAGCAGAACAAATTGGTTGGGGCGTTCCAACCATTCAACGTTTATGGTTTGGGTTAGTTTTTCTCTCACATATATATATACATCATAATAATTATTTTTTATACGATATTTGAAAAACCTTTAATGTTTCTTTTTTTTTTACAGCACAGGAATAGATGACAAACGTCGTAGATTAAGAGGATTTTTAACTTGTATGAGATCAGATACACCTCTTATGTTAAATACATCTTACGTTCCTCAACATTTTTTAGTTATGGCTTGTGTTTTACGGTGAGTGTATATAATGTTATAAAAGTAGACTTACTACATTGTATGTTAGATATTTTTTTCTTTTTTAAGATACATCATATAATATTAATGATTTCTTTTTTTGCAGGTACATTATGTCTTTTTCTGATAAAATAAAAATTTTACGTCGGCAAGAATTAGACGCTTTTATTGCACAAGCCTTTTCTCCAGAATTAATGAATGCTCAATATTTACAGGAATTACAGGTAATATAACGATATCGTTTGTAATATAATATATGTTATATAGCTTCGATAGTATAATTTATTTTATTGGAGAAAACATTATTATTTTACAGCTTCCTTTAGTAACTTCCCGCGGTGTTCAACTCGCGAGTTTATTTATGGCAGGTGTAGAGACTGCACTCTTAGCTAATGACGCTTGCGGCGCTCCAATACCTTGGTTAATGTGTTGTCCTTGGTTATATTTTGATGGAAAACTATTTCATCATACATTGGCACGTGCTACCATTGCGAAAAATTTATTAGAATTATGCAGCGGCCATATAGAACGTGTTGTAAAAGTTGAAAGGATGAGGAAGGCTGTACTCGAAGGAATCAACGTTGTATTTGCACGACCACCAATGCCTATTGCACCAGGTATACATTTTATTTTATATTTCATAGTTCAAAGGCTTGAATTAACTTAGAACCTATTATGTAAGTTAATTTTATTTGAAAGTAAAATCCTTCCACGATCCTTAGCAATTAATGATTAAACCAATTAATTGCTTTTAACTGGAAGGAAATTAAAGCAGTTATATTGCTTCGTGGCGTTTGATTAAACGTTGCGAATCTCCAAACTGCTATAATTGTTTTATCTTTGTTTTTTTGTAATAATATACAATTTGTTGCATATATGAAATATGGTATACATTTTATTGATTAAATTATTTACAGGTATTCGTGTGTCAGTACCTCAGAATATTTTACCAGCCGGTTGTACGATTAACGAGGGGTTAATTCGTGGACGAGGTAATGGTACAATACCACCACAGCGTGGTTTAATGCGTCGTCCTATACCTTCACGCGGAGGACAATTGGAGATAGCTGGTGTCGTTGTTGGTCAGTGGGGTCCTAATTATGGTCAACCAGGTCGATTGCCGCAGCCTATGCAAGGACATCCTCGAGGACGACTTCCACCTCAGGTATTACGTACATTAAATTGTAATATAAGTCTAAATATACTTCCATTTATTTGTTGTTCATGTGTGAGAAGGAAATTATTTCTGAAAATGAATTTCTAAATGCTTCTGCGGAATATATTGGAAGTATTCCAGATTGTTGTTGCACTCTTTATATTTTATATTTAAGAAATTAAATATAAAACGTATATCAATTGATCTATCTTATCAACACAATCATTTTTTTATTATATAGCTAATTACAGAAATTTTGTTAATCATTATATAAAAGAACTAAAATGTGTAAATAATTTAAAAGTAAGTTTGTTGAACGTATAGGTTTTCTTCTAAAAGTACATTAATAATATAAAGAACTTTGTTGTAGGTTACTTCAATAGGCGGTTTGAAGTATGGTTTACCTCGTGCATTCAATCCAATGGGAAGGCCAACATTTCCAACACGGGGAAACAATCGTACACCAATAGCAGGACGTGGAAAGAAGACTCAGATGAAGGTATTATATTCCTAAATTAACTTTAGCTTCTAAAATAAATGTAAAGCTTTATTTTTAGGCAACTAGTAAGAAAAAAACTACTATTAAGAAGACTAAAGAGTGTGATAAAAAAGATAGCAAAGGACGAGGTATTAATGTGGATGGACTAAATGATTATATGTACGTTAATTTTAGACCGAGATCATCATTTCTTGAAAAGCGCGATACATTTAATTTTAATTATTTTTATTTATTTCAGAGATCCTGTTGCAAGTATTAATACAACAAAAGAAGTACTGCCAGTACCTGGTCAATTTGACGATGCTGTTGAAAATGGTAAAGTTGTCGAGAAGGGCCAGGGAGATGCACCACTTCCTGCGCAGGTAGTGGCCGAAAATTAGGTATTTACATAATAATCACTTTGTCATGGACTTTAGACACTCCCGGATGTGACTGAAGACTGCAATATCCATATATATTCGATCGGCAATTGTGCACTGTGAACTTTTGAGCAATAATTAATAATATTCTTTACACATAGAATGATATTTCTGTAATAGATACTTCTTAAACGAAGTATTATTATATTTCTATTTTGTAAATGTAATTTCGCGACGACAAAGATGATTATTAATATAATATAATTATATTATAATTTTTCGGTATTTTCCTTTTTGTTTTTCGTTTTTCGTTTTTCGTTGTGTGTTAAAAAGAGGAAAGT